TTTTTTATGAACTATTTTTCAATGGACACCTAGAAAATTCCCCTTTTTTTCCACCAAAAGTACGACTTGTTTCATTTCGGTTTTTCGAGAGAAAAAAAGAAAAAGAAAAAAACAGGATGAGTAAAATTAGCGGAATGAAAGGGAAATTCCCCTTGTAATTCTCTGTTTTATTTCGAGATTGGGCAAGAAAAAGTCTCCCCTGTTTTCTCCCGGAGGAAAGAACTCTGAGAACTCGATTGGAAAGAGAAATGGGTAACAGAAGGAAACAATGTGGAAATACGAGGAATAAATAGCTTATTGTCAAAGTTGGCCCCCCCGGATCGCCTTTTTTCAAGTTAAACAATTCAACGCGAAACAACTCCCCTTCGAAGGGGGGGGTTTGTTTTACTAGATTCATACGCGGATTGAACTAGAGTCTAGAGCAAAATTGACTTTCCGAGTTTCCCCCCCCCCCCTTTCGAATTCCCCCCTTGAGTTTCTCCTTCTTTTTTGGGTTCTTTTTTCGAGTTAAACGAGGTCTCAAGCTCAAGCTCGAGCTCAACGAGTCTTTCAGAGTTTAGGAACAGCTATTGGTATTCCTAATACGCTAATAGCTATTGGTATTCTCGAATTCGAGTTAAACGAGTCTCAAGCTCAAACTCAGCAAGGTCTTTCCAGAGTTCAGGAACAGATCCTGAACAGATAGTTCAAGGAACCAGGTATTCCTAACACGAAAAAGGACATTATGATCCCGATTTCTATAGCTTTAATGATGAACAACACTGGAAAAAGCAACAAAGGAAAAACTTAAATACAAAGCTGATGGGCAAAAAAAGGGAAAATCGTTTTTTCATTTGACACGAGGTGAATGTGAATTGCGAGAAACGCCCCAAAGAGAACGAAAGAACGAAACCAGAAGAAAGACACCGAATTTTAACAATCTCAACACCTGAGGTTTACCACCATTAAGTTCGGGAAAAAATGGGGAGGGATTCTTTCCGAGATTTTCCAAACCCTCCTCCCACAGCTTTCACTTCGAAAACCGAAATCATTTTCAATAAGTTATTAAACAATCTCCATCCAAGTCAATGGAGGATCAGCTCTTTTCTGAAAAGGTCGACGCATTGCTTTGTTGAGCCTCGAGCGGTTGTAAGAAACAATTTCAGTATTAGCAGAGTTTCGAACTAAATCAAAATGCTGTCTTATGTCTTATGAACTTTTTTTGACGATCTTGTAAAACAAATTGGAGTCAGGAATCGAACCAGAAACGCCCCGCAAAGCTTTTGAAAACTCGCACTCTCCCCCGCTCCGCCATTCAGTCATTCATTCGAAAATCAAGTATTCTATTGGCTCCAAAAACGATTTAGTGTAGAGCCGCTCTAGTCCCATGTAGGGCAATGTGACACGCCATATCTTCGCATCTCAATCTAACCCCAATACCTCGCCGGCTTCCAGAAAAAACCTTTTGATTTCTAAAGAAAGAATTGGACATAAATTCTCATAGACATCAAATGATTCTAAATGAAAATTGTAGGGGGTCATAGCTGAAAGAGAAAGGAGAAAGGCTCTCGAGAAGGGGAAGGGAATCTCCATCAAGTCAATGGAGAATCCAGCTCTTTTCAGAAAAAGTCGACATTGCTTTGTTGAGCCTCGAGCGGTTGAAAAAGCAATTTCAGTATTAGCAGGCTTCGAACTAAATCGGCTCCTCTCGACCTCGAAGTGTGAGTGAAAGAGTACAGAGTTGCGAAAATTTCAAACAAATAAGCAATTGCTGAACATTGAAATACAAATGCATTTTATTGAACTTGGCAAATTAATGGCTTTTAAGGTTAAAATCTAATTACTGGCTTGTTGATAAGATGCTGTTTTGAGCACTCATCAACATAAGCGCATTTTAACATTTGAGAGTGGAACAAAATTCCACTCTCAATGAAATCCTAAATAAAGCAGTTATCCCGCATCCTACCAAATACCAGCATTTAACCTTAAGTTTCCAAGGAAAGAAAGCGTTTACAAAAACATAAAAAGCTGAACTCAATTTATCGAGGAGCAGGCCTAGGGTCCTCACAGAGGTTCCTAAGACTGTCTTGATAACTTTGGTGATGAAACAGATCAGACGCCAGGAAAACATCTGATTTGCTCTGAAATAGATCAGATCTACGACCAGATCAAATGCCCGGCAAACCTAGAAACTTTTGTGAGGCAGGCTAGAAGCCAAGCCAGGTCCCATAAACCAGCCAAGCCAAGCCAGGTCACGCTTTGCTCGGAAAAAACTACCTTTAAAAAAACCGTAAAAGTGAGAGTCTTTCCATCGTCTTCAATATAAATCATTCATTCATTCAATCATTAAAAATCCTTCCCCCGGTTGAAATCGATCACTCAATATTGTTATAAATTTAGCGTTATTTTTGCAGCAGAAGCTATTCAGCACTTTTGAATAAATCTTCATTTCTCTTCAAACGTTTTCAAGGCCGATTCTTCGCTACAACTATGAGTGCATAAGGTCCGTTTTCTCTGCAGATTGGTGTGATCGAAGGGCAAAGACCATAACGAAAGTTAGCTGGGTGAGTGTATAAAATGGTCGACTGACTCAAACTACATCGAGATTTTTGTACACATTTTTGTACAACTCTTTCAGGGAAGAGACTCAGTGAGAAAAAATACCGAAAACTATACAGTATCCATCACTTTTTCCAAGTAAAATTTCCCAAAATCAAATTTCAAAACGATAATCTTCCCCCAGAAAAAGTGAAAGTCGAAAAGAATTTGGTGGACTCGTTTTAATGAATAGCCGTTTTTTTGTGTGACTTTCTCTCAACAAAAAAAGATTCCCGAAAAAAAAGGGGAACACTAGACGAAAAAAGAGGAGGATTTTTCTCAATTTTTCTCAATCTCACAAAAAGCACAAAAACAAAAACTCATAAAAAAGTTGAGGGATAACCGGGGAAAACCTCGTAAACAAACCACAATAAGAGAAAAAAAAACGTTATCAGTGAACGAATTGAGCGAGACAAAAGGAAATATATCCAAATTGAAGGGAAAGGATATCGAATGGGAAGCTGAGATGAAAAGGTTCACTTTCGATTTTCGAATTCGAGTAGGGATTTGCTTTAGGTACAGTACTGGACAATGAAATATCATATTTGAAAAACGATCATCACTTTCGCGCGTCTGTAACTCCCTTGTCTTTGAGTTTAAACTATTAGTGTTATACATTTTCTGAAAGCTCTTTTCAAGCTCTGCACAATGGCAATATTAATATTTAGAAATACGGTAAAGACAAGGGAGTTACAGACGCGCGAAAGTGACGATCTTTTTTCAAATGTGATATTTCATTGTCCAGTAGTGTATGTTAGTATGTTAGGTAATCTCCTAGTGATCTGCTAAGAAACGGGTGAAGAAAACGATGATGAAATTGGGCTCAGTCTGGAATTTTCTATATCTAAATTATAGCAATTGACAGCAGTAACACTTTTAGCAGACTATTTAACTTCAATGAAAATCGAAGAAGATAGTTTTTCCTGTCAATATTGTAGTCCTGTAGGTACTGCAAGTGTCGTAAAGTATTGTACTTTATGTACATATGTCTATACATAGGTTGGCAATAATGAAACCTTTCATAGTACTTTAATTATTTCATAGTACTTCATTTATACAGTACTGGACAATGAAATATGATATTTGAAAAACGATCGTCACTTTCGCGCGTCTGTAACTCCCTTGTCTTTGAGTTTAAACTATTAGTGTTATACATTTTCTGAAAGCTCTTTTCAAGCTCTGCACAATGGCAATATTAATATTTAGAAATACGGTAAAGACAAGGGTGTTACAGACGCTCGAAAGTGACGATCGTTTTTCAAATATCATATTTCATTGTCCAGTAGTGTAATTCTTTATGGATTTTATGTTGAGTGCATTTTCAATTGTGTCTAAAGTATGGGTAATATCGATAAGCTACCGTAATCTTTCCATAATTTTATTATAATTCCATTCGCTTTACAGTTTGTCTCCTCATCGAGTGCGATCGTAATTAAGTAAATGCGAAGGAAAGATTTACGGTAGTTTAACAATTGTTCACTTTTTTAAAAAAACGCATTACTCTAAACACCAATTATAGTTATAACGATTCAAACTATGAGATCACATATAAAATAAAGATTTCACGAAAGGTTGTTGAGAAAAAAAATGCTCGAAGGGGGGAAAGTGTTGTCTTCCTTTTTCGGCTTTTTTTTGAGATCTCGTAGCGAAACGAGGCCATTCCCCTATTTTCCCCTTTCCAAAAATCTCCTCCCGCCTTTTCTGCACCCATTTTATCTCCAATCTGTATTTAGCATTCAAAATGGTTGAACTAGAATAGAAAAAAAACATTTCAATGACCAAGAAATGCATTTTGGAGGTTTTTGGATGAGTTGAGCGTCTGCAAAAAGAGAAATCTAGATCTAGATCTAGAAAGGAAAACTGGCAAAAAAAAAGCTATAATTTTGCATTTTTTAATGCAAATCGCCATCTAAACCATCTTATTCTTAACTTTTCAAGATTTGAAGAGTTCAATCTCGATTTAGAAACATTTTGGCACAATTTGAAGCTCCGACGCCACAGTCTCCACTATTATGATCGATCTCGAGAAAAGTGCCTTTGCCGCAAATTGCCTTACAATGTTGTATTTGTTAAACCTAATTATCTTTTGAAACCCCAAAAATTCTTTATTAAGTATATACCAAGGCAAAATGTAAATAAACCTAGATAAGTGAATGCTATAAAACACATCGAAAATGCAGTAACCTCCAATGTAAATCAAAAAAGAAATAATAAATGCAAAAGGTAAAATCTAGCTCATGGTATCTAGAGGTTAGCGACTAATTTGTACTCGGAGAAAACAAGTTAAAGAGGAGTTAGTTAGCTTCAAAACTTCTATAGAAAAAAAATGAATTCACTATGCAAGGACTATGTGAGAAAAAGAGAATGGGACTAGAGTAGATATTAGTGTGAAGAGACTCAACTATAAGAAGATTGACTTGTTAATACTCATCGATGATTGATGGAGAGCTGTGTCCCGACTAAAATAAAAGATGTTGCTTTAAAAAAAAAATTTTTAATTAGAAGGAAGAACAATCAAAATCCAACCGTGTTTGGTGATCGAAGTCCAAAATCACAGCAGACTCTCGCAAAAACTTGATGAATTGCAGCTTTATCCTCCTTGCTAAAGAAAAATTGGATGAGCAAAAGGGACAATGTCTTTACGTGAGATATGGATCAGCAAAAACAGCAACCGACATGATTGTCGGATCTCGAGGAGCAGCCATTGCCATCTAAATTTATAGTTTCGTAACGCAACATGATAATTTAGTAATGAAATCAAGTTTTCTAATGTTAAAAACAACATTATTTCAAGGTAGCTTGACTATAAAGTCACGTTTCCAAAATACCCACTTGTTCTGGCTGCACTCGACATGCGACAAGTTGCTCTTTCGGTTTCTTTGTGTCAAAAAGTAGAACTTCTCCAGCTGGATGTCGTTTGCCATCAAGTCCTCTGTTCAAATTACGCAACTAGGTAAGAAAATTGAAAACGGCAAAAAATATGGGCTCACCAAAATCTCAAACTTTACGCCCGGCAGCTCCTCAGCTAGCGCTTCTTCGAGAGCACTTCGGATCACCCACTAAAAAGTACAATAGAATAAGTTAAGAAACTTTTTTTGGTTAGCATGCTATCAATCCATGTTAAGCAATCGAAAGCAGAGTAGGACGCTATGCAAATTAGTAATGCTTTTGCAAAAAAAACGTTCAAAATTGCAAAAAAAATGGCAGAGGGTTTACTTTGAAAGATTCGCTGTGCAACTCGATTGATTCCTCAGCAATCCAAATCTAAACGAGAATATGTTCACCTAAACAAAATAATACTAGCAAGAATGGGAGTTTTTGAAGAGCAGGTTAAATAGACTTAATAGATAACTCGTGCAATGCCTTCACCACCATCGTGCAGCAAAAACGGAAAGTAAAAAATGCCACCAACCCGCGGTGTTTGTTGTGGAGAAAAATCTTCACTCTCGACAAGTTTTGGAATATCTCGCAAGTGGATTTTTTCGAGAATTTGACGAGCTTCCACCATCTCAGCGCTTGTCGATGGATGATTCTCAATCTAGATAGTGATTAAAATAAGTTTTAAAAAAGCTAGCTTATTACCATTTGAATCACGGCATCGTCGGTCTTCAAAAAAGCGCTCATATCATTGATCGTTTCACTCAGTTTGAATCTAAATTATAATTTGATTAGAAACTGCTCTCAAAAGTTTGCCTTTTCCCATCGCTTCCTGTAAAAGTGAGATGTTCATCGGCCAGCAGAAGAGCGCGGATTACCCTAAATGAATAAGTATTGATGAAGATAACGAGTAGAGGGTCTAGTATTTGCAAATTTTTTGTAAGCTTGAAAGAGAACCTTTTCTCTTTCTTTTTCATTTTTTAGTTTCTTCAAAAAGTGTCTAGCTCTCAAAGGTCACGTAACATGCATGGTGTTTGTCACTCCTCAAACAACAACAGCTGTCGCCCGAGGCACTTTGATTATTCGTAAACAATTATCCAGACATAAGCTAAACTCTCCCAACGGTCTTGTTATCCAAAACAAAAAATGATCCACCGCTCAATCAAGGGCTGTTGTTTACAAAATTCATCTTTTTCCGGGCTCGCTTTCTACACCAAAAGTGCACCTTTTTCGAGGCGGCCGTAACAAAACGCGGATTCCGAGGGTAATTATCCCTCTTTCGATCTGTCTATCCCTCTTTTCCCTTTTACATCCTTCGTCTCTCATAAACACATTGCTGAACTTTAAAATATACACAATTACCGAGAAAACCCCTCGACAAAACAAACTGTCCAACAATGGGCGGACCTAGTCGAAGCGTATAAAATGAGACTCAGAGATCAACAGGCAACCACCAACCGATTCCTATTTCACTGATCACTCTACACTTCAATCTTCAACACAATGTCTCGAGTTTTGCTCGCAATCTTCCTCGTCGCCCTCATTGCCACCGAATATGTGGTAAGAGTTGCCGCTCAATGCGGTTAGATTTCGAAAAACTAGTATTGGATAAGTAGAAGATTCTGCATAAGTTTCAAGTTTAAACTATTTGTTCATTTGAAAAATACTTAAATGATAGGCTTTCGCAAAAGCAAATCTTAAACTGAAATTTCTAGCATGCCACCGAGGTTGGGGACAAGGCCAAGAGTGCCGCCGAAACAGCTGAGGGGAAATTCAACGAGGGCAAAGAAGCCGCTCACGAGGCCAAGGACACTCTCGGTGAGTTAACAAGAGTTTAATAACTACGTATAATTAAAATGCAATCAACAAGCTTTAATAAAAAGAAAGTGCTATAGCTGAACGAATAAAGACCGGCTATGAGGAGGGCAAAGCCATGGCCTCGGGAGCCAAAGATACAGTCGGTTAGTGAAAGCGTGCCAACTCGAATGAGCTAATAAAACTAACTGCTGCCGCAAATCATCGCTAACTTATAACTAATCCAATTTATCATAGTTTGGCTTCTAAAAGTGAATCCCTTTCACGATCAGCAACTTTTAGGCAAGAAGGTCGAAGACGCGGGTCAATCAATCCAAGACTGATTCGACTTTGCCAACAATATGTACAGCTCCCATGCATAAAATTGGCTTTAATTTTTGAATAAAATATTCAATCAATTAACTTGAAAAAGAAAAACAATCAAAACTCACATTCTTTCAATTGCCCGACAAGTGTAGTGCTGGTAGACAACCCTGTGCATAAGTTGTCGAGAGTCACCAACGGATTGCAAGTTGTTGTGCACCTAGAACAGAAATCGTTTACGAACAGTAATTAAATTCAAAATTTCAATTTCCAAAAAAACAAACCTTCTTCGCATAGGCAATTCGTCTATACCCTTTCTTTTCATCCATCAAAACACGCATGTTCGAGCGCAAACGACGAAGACTGGCCTAAATAGAAGGAAATTTTTTTTACATTTGCCGATTATCACACGTTGTTTTTAATAGAAAGAAACAATCTGGGTAACCATAAACTTACTTGTCCAAAAGTGATATCAACGTGACAAAGGAGTGCATCTCGCAGCAAGTAGTCGTACTTGTCAACATCATGACCGTCTTCTTCATTGGAAACTAAATCAATTAGATAAACATGGACAAGTAAATATAACCAATCAATTTTAAATTTATCAGTAACATTTTAAGCATACCGATATCGTAGAGATAGGATTTGTTGCTGTCGCGGCCCTCCAAAATCCATTTGCCTTTCTTGTCCACCTACTTTTTAAGTTTCAGATCAATTGCTTAAAAAACCCACTTTTTGCGTTGGATGAATGAGTTCTTTGATAAATTGAATATTCCGCTCAAAATGAGCTCCACTTCCCAAAAACGGCAAGAAGGCTTCCTAAATGTGAAAACAATGACAAAAAAAATAGATGCACAAATACCCTAATAGATTTCTTCGAGAAAAGACGACCAATCAGTTTTCCGGATCCCATTTCATGCTAAATGCACATAAAATAACATGAATTTCTTTTGAAGTACTTACTGTCCACGTCGATTTTGGGTTCTTTTCTTTTAGCAATTCATTGTCGAACATATGACTGAACGGGCCATGTCCTAAACATGATAATGCTTTTGCTTTATATTAGAGATAAACCAATTTTTAAAAACCAAACCTTTTACAGCCTAAAATATAAATAAAAGAGTTACCGATATCATGACAGAGAGCTGCAATCGAAACACACAACATATCTTCCGAAGTGATGCTAAGTGATGGATCGGATTCCCTCAATGCCGACACAAATTCGAAGGCCAAATGATAACAACTAAACAACACGGCATCATTTTCAATGGGATATTTAATTTGCAGCTCCAGCAGAAAAAAAGTGAAAACGTGATTACGACCTATTTTACGACTTTATAAAAAAGATAAAGAATTAGAATTCGGGCTAAATTGTATTTTACGGTCTAGATCCAAAATGCATTCAAAACCAGTTTTTATGCTTTACTATGCCTAGTTATGCACAAGAAAAGACAAAAATATTTTAATTTTGACCTTTTGGACCGTCACGTTCAATTTAGCCAGAATTCGTTCACTTTCAAGCATTCAAGCGCTCAAAAAACGCTACCCAAGGCTGTGCGTGAAACGCGAGTGCTCGGCCGATGGGTACACGTAGTTAGCCATTCCAACCTAAAACGAATGTTTTTTCGAAAATACGTAGTAGAGCTGGAAAAAAATTACACATATGAACTAGGGCATACCTGTTTGAGTCGCCTTAAACGCTGAAATTCGGCACTGTCGACGAGGTGCTCGAGGGGGTGAAAAAGTGGAATCGAGTCGTGCACCACACATGAGATCCATCGTACCTAAAAAGATTTTGATAAATAGATTGAAAATTCGGTCATTAAACTTTAAAATCTGTATCTTCATGTATTTACACAGGGAAAGAAAGTAAAAACTACCGGCTTTTCCACCTCGGGCAGTGGCCAGGCGACATTTTCTTGAGATGCGTGCTGAAGCCTCGGGCCCATCCGTTGAGCCGCTAAATCAAAAACGTTGAAAACCATCGAATTCGAATTCGAATTCGATTTCAATTTTAATAGCAATCTGTCTAGAAAATAAAGATCAGCCGGAACAAGTTCGCGGAAAAGAAGTCAGATTATTTTCGCAAAATCACGGGTTTATACATGAAAAAGCGTGGCGTGAGGTTGAGGAGTGAGGGAATTTCGACGGCAATCTTGTCTTAAAATCTCTCTGTTCGGACGGGGTCACCTCATAGCGATTCGAAAGAAAACAAAGGTCGAGAGAAAGGGTGCAGCGAGAGGAGTGAAGCTGTGTAGCATTGTTCTCATTAGTAGGTGAAAATAAGAGGTAATCGATGAGGTGCGTGCGTTCAATTACAGCGAATACTAAACGTTGCAAGGCAAAACGAATAATAAACGAATAATAAACGTTGGCGTTAATTCGAGAAAATTTGAGATGAATTTGTGCAATAATCCAGAAAAGGCAATTTAAAATGGCAGAATCATTTTCAATAGAGGCAAATGGTGGGAATTATTCGGAAATTTTTCTAAATTGAATTAAGATTGAGATTAAGATACTGTCATTGAGATACATATTGAAGCTTCGATTTCAAACCACAAAATGGTTTCGGTTTTGAAGCCGAACTTTCCGATACAGGCATTGGCAAAATCTCAATATAAAGATGCTTCAAAGAAAAATTGCTTGGTAGAGCAAGCTCAAATGATCAAAATTTCAAAAGGCTAATAGACAGGGAAAGCTAATTTCTCAATTACCAGAAAAGGGCTGTCTTCTAGACCAAATATGGGCAGACCCGAAGCTTCTCCCCAGCTGCCATTTGGCGATGAAAGTGCAAGAGCCAAAAAATTTTTACAACTCCTTTTCCGGCCCCTTTCTCCTTGGAGTGTATGTGAAAGATCGCGTTGCGATTAGGCACGATTCGGGGATGACTCATCCTCTCTCCGAATTTGCGGGGTGAATCGCTGAAACCTTATTGGTCTTGGAAAAGTTACATGAGCAAAGATAGCACAGTCTGGCCCAAAATTGTTTATATTTCTTCCCGCGAATATTTTGATGAAAACAAAGGGGATTTTTTTATATTAGCGTTATCAAGCGTTTTACAATTAAACAATTGTGATGATAAAAATAGCCAAATTCAGCAAAAGCTGTGCGAAAACATTGACCGAGAGTGGGGTTGTTTGTTTGGTGGGTGACAGTCAGCTGTTGGGGGTGCTTGGGGTGGTACCAACCGAGTACCACCTTGGGTCTCGATTAGACACAAATTTGTGAGACTAATCCGTCACTGACTGCTGAGCTAAAATAAAACTCAACCTTTTAACAGAATGCTAAGCACTTTTACAAAAAAAACTTACATTGGCTGAACGCCCTGTTAAAATTGAAAACCAATCGAATCGAAGAAATCATTCAATCGCAAATAAAATTTTGTTGCGCTATTCTCTCGAGTTGAAATTAAATGCAAATTTAACACACCATAAACAAATTAAATATTACAATCTAAATTTAACTAAACAAAAAAAACCCATAGTTTTTGCGCATGCAAATTTTTTCAGAAAACGTACAAATTATGCCAGTCGTAAGGATTGAACTTAGAAAAAGCCCCAGACAAAGCGATTTTCCGTTTCTCAGAGTCTCCACTTTTTTCAGCTTCTTTCTTTCATGTTGGGCCATCTCTCATGGAGGATTTCCATGCTTTTCGTTTTCATCCATGAAATAGCCGTCCGTTTAGCTTTTCGTGCCCTATATATTGAAAAGAAGATTCGATAAAAATTTGTATATTTAATCACAAACAACAAAAATGAAAACAAAATTAAGAATATCTGCTACAACTTGTTATTTTCCTTTCTTTGCAAATTTGTCATGTCGCAACCAGTACTGATCCCACCACGTCTTGGTCTAAATTTAAGAAATTTAACAAAAAAAGAATGATTACATCTTATTGGTTTAAGTTTTTAATTTTTTTCCAAAAATGCTCTTGAAAAAAGAGTCAAGTTCAGACTAGAAATAAACTCGTTTCTACCTACCTCAGGCTTGAAGGCATCAAACTCAATTAGGGGATCTGGATGAATGTCGGGTAGAGTTAGACCACCGCGTGAGACCTATACAAAATATAAAGAAATTTTATACTTAAAAATACCTGGCGAGAAGGTTCTTCAGTCCACCATGGATAGTATTGACGATAGTCGAAATTTCTAAAAGATAAACTAAATACGAAAAAAGATATACTTTCTACCTAAATTCTACTCCAAATGTTATTTTTCCGTGTTCCTTAGCTTTCAATAGTTGTGCCTGAAAATAATAAAAATCATCGTCTATTATAACTTCAGAATACCGAAAGAAGGTTGTATTGTTCTCGACAGAGCCCAGTTTTTAGAATATCTAGTGGTTGCACAGTGCCATCTAAAAGTAAAAATGAAGACAGTAAAAGAAAAATAAGATAACCTTGCAAAAATTGTAGTATTAGTCCCGGATTTCTGAAGTCGAAAAATAAATATTCGTCTCTGAATTTCAAATAAAGCTGTTGAAAAAAATTGCATTTACCTGCAAATGGGGCAAGCGTGATTTACATTGAATCGTCCATGTTTGTCAATGCAAAACAATCTTGGTGGCGGTTGAAGCATGTATTGACCCTGAATTTGATTTAATCATCAAACGCCAAACTATAAACAAACTTTGAAATTTCTTTTGTACGACCGATGGACCGGTAATCCTTGATAAGCATCCAAGTAAGCTAAAATTAAACTAAATCGTATTAAAAAAGGATATTTACCTTTAGATTTCATATAGGAAATCTGCTCTTCGATATTGTGCTTTGGTTTGTAGAGACCTTTCTTTTTCTCGACGTGATTAAAGGCCCAACCAGCTTCTTCGGGAGTCGGAAGGGTTTCCGTTTTCTAAAAATAAGCTCCATAAGAACTTTATCCACGTTTTTTTTAAAGTTCTATCGGTCTCAACTAAAACCACTTTGCATTCAACACATAGTTCATTTTACTAACATTTAACAAAATAAATTGATTGACGACCAGAAATTGACAAACCTTTTGACCGGCAGATAGCTGACTGGTCGATATCAGTCGTTGACTGATACTTCTACCACAGCGCAGCATGGCACCTGCAAATCTCTGAATGAAATAAATCCAAGCTAGCACCAAAAAGTAAATATAAGAGTTGTTCATAACACACTAAAAGTCAGTATTTTAATAAACATTTTATTGAAGTTTTGGACGCAAAATAAAATAAAACAACAACGAGTGCAACAAAAAACAGTAACAAGAAATTCTTCAATTTTAAAGATTCAAGTCATCATCAGGATCACTATCATCAAGATCATCGTCTTGATCGGGAGTATAAATGACTCGGCCACCAGCTCGAACTTTTCTCCCAGAGCCCATACGAATATCGACCAAACCTTAAAATGTCATAACTCATGCAAAAGAAAATGTAAGTCTCACCTTGCTCGTTTTGCATTTTTGTAAAAGGAAGCTCAAGCGATTCTTTAGCAGCCCTAGAAACATTGATGCTAAGTTGAAAGTATTGTTTACCTTTCCGATCTTTTAAGATTAAGTCCAATATCAAACGATGTACTGAGCGATGGTTCAGGTGCGGACTCCACCTAATACACAAATTTTTTTAAGTCAAAAATTGAATGCTACCGTTTCCAAAAGCGATGCTTGATATTTTCGGAATTCTAGTCGAAAAGGTTCACTCTGCACGGAGATGATTTCTTCCTGAATTAGAATAAACATAACTGTTTAGCTGGTTTGATGTAATTTTGGATTTATATACTTGAAAAAATCTCGTAAGACCAACCCGCTTATTGACTTTTCCGTTTCTTTCCCATCTGGTAATGTTTGCAATCAAATTTGTATCTTCTCGTCTCAACTCTATTGTGGCATCAGCTACTGAAGCAACGCGATTCCATTCCATAATCTTCTCCACGTCAGGCAAGACCAATAAACATATACAAATCGATTCTAAAACATAAATAAGCAATTAAACAACTACAATAATAAAGACACCTTTAAACTTGCTGAGATTCCTCAGTGTTAAATCTAGTCCATATTCTAAAACCATAAGCTCTATCCAATTAAAAAATAGAAGTCGCTTTGACGAGACTGAGGTACAAGACGCTAAAATCGATCCCAGTGGTGTCGTGTTGATGAAAGGAACTAGAGACCAACTAAACAATCATACAAGTTATGAATGAATATAATTTACTTGGGTTTTCTCGAAAATCTTGCTAAATCTTCACATGGCGTAGTCTCAAAGGCTTCTGTACCTTTCGAGGCTAAATAACGCACCAAATCTGAATCACTTCCATCGTCAAGTCCTAAAATATCGACTGAAAAAAAAGCAATTTAAGTACCCTACCTCTGATAACTATCAATCCACCCAAAGGTATAGCTTCCATTTAATCGACCTGGAAACTTAACTGTCAGTGTACAACCAGTGGGATTTCAAAGTTGAAAGCTGCAGAAATGTTTTCAGGTAGTTCATAAGGCCTTTGCACTTTTTAATCGTGCTTATGTTCAAATTTAGAAAATTTATGCTGGACAATGACAAACTCAGTAATCACAACAAAGTTTACCGAACACCAAAATAATACGATGGTAACCAATCAATAAATATCATTCAAGTCATACAGAAAATAGTATCAATTTCAAAATTCAAACGAATAAATTATTCCTTATTAACCGAAAAGTCCATAGGTTCGTCCTGGGCGGCTGGCTCTTTTGCTGGCGCCTTTTCGACATCGGGTTTCGTTTCCTCGACTTCCTCCGCTTGCTTCTCTTGTTCAACATCCATTTTCTCCACTGTTGCTTCGTTTTGCTCGGGTAAATTGCCGGCACCATTCTCCTTGCCTTCTTGATCCGGATTTGTCTCCTTTGTTTCCTCACTTTCCTTCTCATCCTATAAATGATTCCATACATGCTTCTTTTAATTAGACTACCTTTCCATGGAGAGCGGCAAACTTTGGTTGTATTCCCGAAAGTTGTTGCCCGATCGTTGGTGTCACAAACGGTCCGGGTTGAGGCAAAGGACTTTTACCAGCTACAGCTTCCAGATCCTTTGTGGTCAATCGCTGAAGGATACTAAATGTCAAGTTACAATTACAAAATTAAGATAGCTACGTACGCTCTTTCCGTCATACCAAGCCTATTCGTCACCGGTCGTAGACGAGCAAGAGTAGCTGGTAACCGTGAAACATCAGCCTAAATAAGAGTTGTCACTATTTGCGGCCTATATTGCCACCTTCATATCAGACAGAAGTTCTTCGAGTTGGGTGAGTGTCTTGTGCAATATGACGTTGGCATTTTTGTTTCCGCCAGACGATTCCCTGGCAATAGTGGCATTTGAATCAGCAAGATTTTCAATATCAGCAAATCTAAAACAGAGTTGATAGAAAAACTTACAACAAATAAGTTCCAGTACAAACTACAAACACCCACCGTTGCGCCAGTTGTTCAGTTCCGTCGTTTGTGGGTTGATTTATGATATTTAAATGTGCAGCTCGACGTAATTGTTCTTCGATGATAAGGGCTTGCTCAAGTAACTAAAAAAAGCATAATTAAAAATAAAAAAATAACCCAATACCTTGAAGCGTCTCTGCAAAAATTTGTTCTTTATCTCAGAAAAGTTGCTTTTGCCCAGTTCCATCTTGAAAGGTTCATTTATGATACCGAAGCGAGTGTCTAGAAATAAAATATAAAATATTTGTTTATTTATCACTAACCAGCTTGAATGTCCTGATATCTTCCATAGCCGTAAAGGACAATTCCAGATAGCAACCAATAGTCATGTCGTCGATGCCAAATTTCGAATTCGTTTCCAGGAACTGCTGCCTTTTCCTGAAAGAAAATCGTATAAGCAACAAAAAAAATTTATAAACTTCGTTGATCCATAGAGTATGAAGCTCGGTGAAGCCTCCATCAGCAATATTGAATTTGAATGGAGGGCGATTTTGCTTTGTTTGATCGGTTGCCAATTGTCGAATTGGGTCTTTGATGTCCGCTTTCGAAGTGTCGGCTTTCGAAGTGTCCATCTTTTCGACATTCCCATTTTCTTCCGGTTTCTCACCATTTTCAACCACTTCTTCTTTGGGAGGAGCTGATTGACTTTTCTCGTCGTCCGGAGGAGCTGTGCTCGCTTCTCGGCTGTTCACTTCACTGTTATTCTAAAACTTAGTGCTTATTTAAAAAATAAAAACAACAAACCTCTGTTGCTCCAGCAGTGGCCAAAATGAGATCTCTTAATTCAGGAATTGACCAATCGCCGTTAAACTAAACAAAAGTAATAATTTTATTGAAAAACTAATATACCGCCTCAAATTCTTGCACTTTTCTGCGAATGAGGCTCATGATTCCAATGCGACTCAAAACTAAAATGAAATTAGTTTGTTTATAAAAATAAAACAAAGAATGTCACACGCAATACGGCAGTAATACCGCCAAGCATCCAATTTACTCACCATCATGACGCTTCATTCCTAAAGTATAAAGTTTTGAAAATTCTCAAATTCTATCCAACCTTCACGCGGGACACCATCATTGAACGAATCTTGATTTTCTGCACCAGGCTCACAAAGATGGCGCATAAACAAAGAGGTGTACGCCCGGAAAGCACGCTCAGACTTCCCCTTCAAGTCGCGAACCTATAAAAAAGTTTTTATTTAAAGCAACTTCTTATACTCACCAGCCATTGACTGACATGCGAATCCTGAGGAGGCATGCCCCATCGCATGATACCATTGTAATAAGCCCGTCGTTGTCTTGGATTAAATCCAAGCACTTCCAATTGACCATTAACCTAAACGCCACTAACTATTGCACTCAAAAATCCACTAACTTTAGCCAGCAATGGAGGCAATTTTTCGCCATCACGCTCCTTTCGTTTTCGGTCTCCCTCAAATTCTCCATCGGTGCCTTCTCCGTCAGAGTGCCCGGATTCGCCAGAGTACGCAACAAAATCCTCGTCGTCATTTTGTTGTTTCTGTAAATTCATAAAAGGTCTAGCATTTAAATGAAACTACCTTATTCCAATCAGCGCCCATATTCTCGGCTGCGTAGTTGACTTGCTTGCGGATACGCTTTCCTTTGCCAAGTTTTTGCGCTTCCGTTTCTTGTTCTTGCTCGAAGTGATGCCGCAACAGTTTCTCCCAGTAATCGGGGTCTTCTTCTCCACCTTCTTGCTAAATTTCATAATTTAGCACAAAATTGCAAGAATATGCTTCTACCTTAATGACTTCTGTATCATCTGGCTCTTCCTCCTCCTCTTCGGCTTCTTTTGTCGTGTAGGTAGCAACCTAAAACAGCGTTTACGGTGAAAAACGCAGGAGTATATACCTTGAATGAAGAAAGATATTCGTTGGTCCAATGTTCTTTCTTTTCGCCCTCTTTCTCTTTTTCCTTCTTTTCTTCATCTCCTCGAGTTCTAAATATATATTTTTAAAAAACCCATACAATCATTGCACCTATCAAGCAGCATTTCTACAGCTTCATCGGTCCAGACAATTTCGTTATCTCCCGGCTTCTTCTCCCCTCCTTCTGCACCGCCTTCTTCTCCATCATCCTTGAAGAGTTCTTCTGTTCCCCATCGAAGCACATCATCTAACTCGTTCTTGCTCATTCCTGGTCCTTTCTGACCGATTCCAGCACGAACAACCTAATAATGGTTGCAAATACTGCGTGTGGCTGATTAATTACCAAGTGAGTCAGAAGCATCTTCTTTTTCGCTACTGTAGTGACACGTTCTTCAACAGAGTTTCTGGTGACAAAACGCTGAAAATTATGGGTTATTAAGCAATTGTTCATAGATCACGTACATAGATCATCACTTTGTTCTGTTGGCCAATACGATGCGCTCGAGAAAAGGCCTAAATTAAAGTTGACTATGCAAAGCTATTTGCCGACATACCTGGATATCATTATGCGGATTCCAGTCCGAATCATAAATGATAACAGTGTCCGCGGTGGCCAAATTAATTCCAAGACCTCCAGCACGTGTTGAAAGAAGGAAAACAAATTGGAGAGCACCAGGAGCTAATCACAAAAATAAACTTTTTTGATATCAGTTATATACCATTGAATCGATCGATAGCATCTTGTCGTTGTTGTCCTGTGATAGAGCCATCGATTCGTTCATATTTGTACACTTCATTCTCGCAAAAATCTTCTAGAACATCCAACATCCGAGTCATCTAAACGTGAACATAGTTACTTATTCATTGAAGCTTTCCTCGTACCTGTGAAAAGATCAAGACGCGATGACCGCCATCTTTCAACTTTCTGAGCATCTTTTGTAAAAGAACCAACTTTCCTGATGATTTGATCAAAGCCGCACCTTCATACATGCCGTTTTTAAGCTTTGGAGCTTCGATACTGGCCTAAATTGAGATGTAGCGATAAAATAACTTAACGCACCTTAGGAAAAAGGTATGGATGATTGCAGCATTTTTTCAACTCCATTAGAATATTGAGAAGAGACATCTGAGATCCGCCACTCTTTACGGAAAGCGCTTCGAAGTTCCGTGTAAGAATAGCTTTGTAGTATTTCCTAAAATTTCTTTGTAATTAAAGTTCATATTGAAACATACTTTTGCATGGAAGCAAGTTCGACTCGAACAATAAGTTCACTTTTGCTAGGCATTCCCGCAAGTACATCAGCTTTGAGTCGTCGAAGCATGTGGGGTCCGAGAAGAGCATGCAACTTCTGGATTTGGTCTTCTTTGGAGATTTCGGCAAACTCTTGAGTAAATGATTCCAAATCACTAAAGAAAATTGTTAAACGTCACCAAAACAGTTGCTAACTAGAAGCGATCAGCAGACAAAAAGTTGAGAAGATGAAACAGTTCCTCCAAATTGTTTTGTAGTGGTGTTCCGGTAAGCAAAAGACGATAGCCAATCTAAAATAATTAGAATTAGTAATAGCAGAATATGTAAATTGATACCCTGAATTCTCGTAGCGTTTTGAAGAAAGTGGACTGGTTGTTCTTTAGACGGTGTGCCTCGTCGACCACCAATGCTCCCCATTCAATAGACGAAAGAATGGCCTAATAAAGTGATTAACTTGCATGAAAAATAGACAACCTTATCGATGTTGATCAATTCATATGATGTGAGAAGCACATGGAATTTGATTCCCTGCTCTGTTTTGATTCGACTAGCCTTCACTCCAGTCTAAAAAACGTTTAGCTAATAACTGAAGTAAATCGCTACCCTCACAGCCCCTTCCATAAATGAGAATTCGTGTTCGCGAATGACCTAAAAGAAAAGTTTATGAAACATTTGAATAAAATGAAACTGACCATTCGAGAATCTTTGTCTCCAACATAGGTGACGACGTAAAAGTCGGGACACCAAAATTCCATTTCTCGCTCCCAATTGATGATTGTAGAAAGTGGTGCCGCAATCTGAAAATAACAAAATTGCCTGAGCCTTTCAAGTGTTGCTCTATATGGTGCAATACTAACCAAGAATGGTCCCTTTGAATGACCTTCCTTCATCAGTGTATAAAGGAATGTTGAGCTTTGAACTGTTTTTCCAAGACCCATCTCATCGGCAAGAATTGTATCCGTGCCATTTGACCAACTATGTCGCAACCAATTCAGTCCTAAAGCGTTTTATACAACAGCACTAGTTTGATACCAACCTTCCATCTGATACGGATGCAAAGTTCCTCCAGTCTCAGTGACGAAATCGGGCTGTGCATCGTATTTCTTACGGATGTCCACCAACGGTTTATCCTAAAGAAACTTTTTTCTTAGATTGAGTTGAATAAATTACCTTCTTTTTCTTATCCTTTTTCTTTTCGGTTCCTTCTTCTTCTACAGGAGCGAGTCCCTTTTCCTCTCGTCGTTGAGCAAGAATCTTGCGAATGAGTTTTGGTGGAGTGTCGCCATTCATTTTCTCACTGAACACAGTTTAAAATTTTCTTTCGATGGCACTCCTACCGATGAGCCCAGTATTTGATAATGGCGTCTTCATATCCCGCAATATCCATATCATCTCGTTCCCATGTCGCTTGTTCATAAACGAGCTCCCTCCATTTGACCAAATAGTCAAACTGCGTCTTGCTGTATTCTTGATGATTGATGATGCGATGTACCTGAGTTGAAAATAGCAAAGAATCACTCTATTACCATACTTGCATCCATTCCGGTTTGATTCCATAGCGATAGAACTTTTCTTCCATATTATGCGGATCGCTTTCCTTTTCTTTGTTGTCGATTCTCCCTGTGGTCATATCTTCCGTAGATCCATCATCGATTTCCGGTGGAACCTAATTGCATTTATTTAATATTTAAGACTCTCTTTTACTTCTGGATCAGCTTTTCTCCAGTACATTCGAAGAGTTTGCGGGTACCAAACGTCGAGGACCATTTCATTGACCCATTCACAATGCCAATATGACCTAAAAAGATTTGAAAAATTTAGACGGCAATTCTTATGTACAAAACAAGAAGAGGAATGTTTACACTCACATGTACTTCCATTTGATAAAAAACTCTCGTTCCTTGCGAGGAGCCATCTGTCGTGGGGGACGCAAACGAGGCTCTGATGGGTCGACATCGGCAGGAACCGTCTAAAATTACAACAATATTACTAATTATATTATTCAGTCAAAAAAAGTCAATAATTTACCTCTGGGTCAGGGTAGCGAACAACAACCCAGCGCCACGAGAGAATCCTTTCTGGCCTTTGCTTTGGTTGTTCCGTTAGGCATCTTGGACAAGCCCATTCTTCATCATCTTCGGGAAGCTATAAAAGATAGATAAATTTGTTTAGAAGAAGATAAAACTTACCGCATCAGGTACAGGATTCATGCAGAATGGATGGTACGACGAAGGGCAATGATCACAGAGCAACATCCCTCCGCCCTCTTTGCAAACACGACAATATTCCAGATTAGCTCTTCCTGCTTCATCCTCTTTCTCGGCTGGTGGACCATGTTGCTCGCAATGTGGGCATGCCCAAACACCTTAATACACACGAGTTTAGATTTTGCAAAAAAAAAATTGATACCATCAGGAGGGGTCTCCATATCTTGATCAACGCAAACCAAATGGTATGCCTTTGGGCACGTATCACAAAGTAAAATCTCCCCTCCTTGCTGGCACACTTCGCAATAGTCTTGATGTTCTTCATCCAACTAAAAATCATGTTAAGCAGAAAATAAATTGTTACTAACTTGTCCTTCTTCACGTTTCTTCTTTCTGACAGCAGCGACCTTTTCCAATTCAGCTTTCTTGGTTGCGACTTTGGCAACAGCACGGGCGTGTTTCTTCTCCTCCTTTTCTCGGTCCTGGTCATCGAGTTGCTTATCGTGTTGTCGTAATAATTTTTCAAATTCTTGATCCGAGTTTCCTGAAATTAATAAGCTAAAGTTTTGCAAAATGGAAATATTTTACCTCCGCCCTCCTCATCATCATCACCACCACCGCGTCGACCCTTTTTGCGAGCCGAAATGCGAATTTTGATTGGAGCCACTTTTTCTGCAGAAGCGGGTGTAGGTGGTGCTTTCACACCAGTCTTCTTTGCATTGATAGCTTTCCCAGAAGCACGAGCTTCTTCCTTAAACCATTTATTACTTTTACCACCAACAGATAATAAATACCTGAAACTCTCGATACTTGGCATTAATCAAGGGGAGAAGCTTTGTTTGATTGATGCCCGGATTTGCCTCCATTACTCCGGTACGATAGAGATTCACCCAAGCCTGGAAAAAATTTTTGAATTAATAAATTAGAAGAATAAACCTTTAATGAAGTAATGTTTGTAAAATCTTCCTCCGTGTAGTCGATGGATGGGTCGGTGTATCCGTAGTACGCAGCAATTTCAGCGGCAGTCGAAGTTGCTGGATCGGGAGCGGTGTTGTCGTGCGACTTCCTTCCTTTCTTGCCTTTCTTTCCTTTGAGTCCCTTCTTTTTCCTCCCCTTCGCTGCTAGAATATGAAAAAGATAAAAATAAACATGAAATTTGCTAACCAGAAGAAGAGGCATCAGCCTCTTCGCCGAAATCCTCGTCAGCCTGCTCATCAACTTCTTCTCCGTCGTCGTTGGTCAGCATCGATTCATCCTCCATAGGCTCATCTAAAAATGGAATGCATTCCTGAGTTTCCAAATAATAAATAAACTTTTGCGATAACTTTATGGGCAAGTTGATTTACAGATCAAATAAGACACATTTCAGCACAAAGTTTCATAACATATTAGGCTGACCGATAAGTTCGTAGAATTTTTTATCAACTTTTAAAGTGTAATTTCTCAAAAATCCCACTATCAATCTTTCTGAAAATTTTACAGTAACTTTTTAATAAAGATGAAAGGTTTTTGCCAAAAGATGAGGGTTTTCTTTCCCGTATAATTTCTTATAAAAATTGAAACTAACAGTTTTCAAATAAAATTGAAAATAACAGTTTAACTTGATCTCAAATTTTTCACCACTAAAACCTCAAAAAATTAAACGGCCACCACAAAACCATGGCCCCCCCCCCCCTCAAAATTTTTTTTAACCACATACTTTGGATAAAGCGGGCCCATTTAAAGGTTTTACTTTTTTTGAGTTTTCCATTTTTACACTGACAATTTTAAAAAAGGTGCGTTTTTTAAAACTAAAGCTTTATTTGAATAACGGATTGACCAGAAAAATTTCCAGTTTTGTTTACTTGATTTTGTTTTTGGGTTTATCTTTTTATCTAAAAACTAGACTATGGAAAGTTTGATTGAGGACAGCTAAGGCGCCAGGAACCAAGCAACTAATGAAATCTTTGAAACCAGCCTTACGATTGCTCTCATATCTTGGCAAGAACTTTTTTGAATGATAGGTATATTTGCTGCAAAATTTTTAGAAAAATTGATGGTGGGCTTTTTGAGAAATTACACTTTAAAAGTTGATAAAAAAAATTTACGAACTTATAATTCAGCCAACCTAATAAATAAACAGCCACGTATGCCTTTGAAAGCCTCACCTTCATTTTGATCTCCAAGATCCGGATGGTCCGAAGCTGAAGCCATCAAAACTAAAATATAAAGTTAATACCACAAAAATAGGATAAATTCACAAGAAAACGAAAGCACGGTTTTGCAAATAACGAGCTCTTAAAGAAATAGGTATGGAGGGTAGGGGCCTTGAGAAATGAGAAAAGACTTCGAGCATCGAGAGAGCGCTATTAAGTGAGAGGTGAAAAGAAAGAAAGCGAATCTGGCGCGGGTGAATCGAGGTTGTGACGGGGTCCAAAAACGGGTGTTCGGATAAGAGAAAGGACACCTCCGTACTCCCCTTTTGGCGCCCACCAAGCCCTTCCCCCTTTTTTTTGCTAATAAGTACCCATCTGCTCTTTTATGGATACAACTTTAAACTTAACATGCGAATTGGTGGAGTGATCGTGAAATGGCTTGAGTTTGCAATTTGCACAGTTAAAGCATCGGATAGAGTTCTAAGAGTTTTGTAATTTTTTACAGTTTTCCCTGCTAATAAAACTTTAAAGGCTTAAGCCTTTAAAGTAACTCCCAGGTGGTAAATCTATCATTATACTACTTGATTTTCACAATTTAAATAAAACTTTTTTTTGAATGCAAATGAATTTGTTTCTTCCGATTGGAAAGGTCCAAAGAGCAAAATCACTGAAAAACAATCAAAAATTGTCCGGTTTTTAAATGAGCACAGAAAAAGATCGATATTTTGCCCACGGCAACTTTAATATAGCAAGTAAAGTAATCGAAAAAGTCGCAGAGAAAAGGAGGCAGAGAGAATTGTCGAGTGAACAATTGGATTTCCGCTCATCTTTTCGGGCAGATGTACAAGGGGGAAGGGGGGGGGGGTCAATCGATTGATCCACTCTTGAGGGGTTTCACCACAGGCCTACAGCTAGGTATGCTTTTTAAACAAGATTTCTCTTTTGTTTGCAACACTAACGCCTGTATATTAAAAGCGAGTTAGCCTTTTAAAAAGTGAGTAATCTAGAAAACTATCGTAATTTTTCCTTGAGCTTTGCTGGATTTACTGTAAATATGTCCTCATTCGAGAGGAATCCAACTGTGAATGGAATGGGATCAAAATTAAGCAGACAGTTTACTATTAAGGAAAGAATACGGTAGTTTTCGAAATTATCTCCTTTTTAGCAAATACTAACGACATCACAGAAACTTTAAAAGTTTAACTTTCAGTTGAAGATGAAGGAACCAACTGCAGCTCTTCGATTTTTCAAAACACTGCTCATCGCCTTCGCTTTCCTTTTGTTCGTGGGATATGGTAACTAAAGAAATGAGCACTCAATAAAATGACAATATTCAGGTGGACTGTATTGGATCGGCAATTTTCTTCACAGTGACTCGATTCCCCTTGTCCATTATGGTGTTCTTTGCATCTTCTACTTGTCACTGTACAAAATTTCGAAAAAACTCATTTGTGATTGTGTGCATTTATTGAAGGGATTAACATTGAAGGGCATTTAAACATGTATACACTTTAACACTTATTGAGATCTAGTTTTCCCTCTGTTGGAAGGTAATATTTTCATCTAATCTGATCCCATTGAATTGTCCAGCCACGAAATCTGAAAACAATTTGAAAACAATCTGAAAAGAAAAGGTTTTAAAGAATAACACACTCTAGTGGGAAATTGAAGCTACAGCACTTGGAGCAGAATTTATAATTAGTAATCTAGAATCAATTTCTCATTAAAATCTAACTTTATTTTATACGTTTTATACGAATTTATAAATATTTCAATAAAAATCGGACAACAATCTAACAAAAAATATAAACAAAAACTTTAAAACAAACATTTAACTTTCCACTGTCCAAGAGAAGCACATCGATCGCGATCCACTTTACAACGTTTTTCAATCGTTTTGCTCGGCTTATTTTGTGATTATCAATTTCATTTACATCAACTTGCGGTGCAAGGATTTGATTCCTTATAAAGTGCAGGGATAAATCCGTATAAAACTAATATCTATCCCATTTATATTGGACAAAAATGCAATAGTATCGTGCTCTGTAAAAGTTCACTGAAATTACTTTTTTTCCAGTAGAAGAATTTCTATGAAAGAATGTTTTGGTACTTTAGGCTTTGGGGGGGGGGGCACTTTTTTTCACCAAAACCATTCTTCCCGGGTAATTGATGATGCTGGTCACGAAAAAGTTAATTTTAAGACAACTTAGCAATGGAAAAATGTCCGTTTTAAAACTCAAGGTGCTATAGTAGTTGGCGGATTTTTTTTTGTCAAATGATCTGATTTTTTGCATCCAGAGGTTTTTGGCTATGCTGAATCGATTGACTATGGTTTCACACAACATTTCGTAACTTTTAACAACATTCAAGGCTCCTATATTTACTTAGGCTTTTACTCCACACCCTAGATACACGTGTCTCCTAGGCTATCGCCTGATTCTCCTACGGCTGAGGTGAGTTTCGAACCGGAAGCACGTGACTTCTAGCTGGAACGAAACTAAACTCAGTCGTATGAGAATCAGGCGATAGCCTAGGAGCCACGTACCTCTAGGGTGCAGAGCCAAAGCCTAGATAAATATATGCGCCTGTGAACAATGGAGTGGAGTAAACAATTCGGTCAGTCAAGACGTCAAAAGGTATTGCTTTAATTTAAGCTACAAGTACAAAAAAGACTATTTTTCGTCTGAAATCTATGAACTTGTAAAGAAAAACTCGAAAAACAATTTATTAGCACATATTTAAGAAGAGTTTATTATTGGATCTTACGGACCATTCTGGCACGGTGAGAAGCCACAACCATTTCCGGTTTTTGCCTAGAATCAACAGCTTTTCAATGCAGTTGTCAACGGGCAGCTTTTCTCTTTCTTTTTCTTTTCAAGAACTTACCGTGATCACTTCACAGAGAGTCGCACAAACCACCCAAGTTGGTAGCATGTTTTCCCATTGTCCCAGCGGATACGTGCCACCAGCTGGATCTGTGGACGCAATGTAGAACTGAAAGAAATATTTTGATCAGAGCAGAGCAAATACAAAAATTGGACCTATTGTTTACCCGCAACCCTTCACCAATAAGTTCAAATCAATGCAAGTTCTTTTATATTTTAAGAGCTTATTTTTATGTTCTACATTCACGTTTACAAATTCTTAGTTAGTCACAGTTTTATGCGTGCTCTCAATTCGGATCTAACAATACCGTTGCACTGCTGGCTGCATCTGTTTCTGCTGGACTGTTTCCGTTTGGCTCTCCTGGGGCCCAGTTTCTGAAAACGCCGGATAAAAACACGGAAAATGTACAAAACCGATAAGTCGAGTTGGCACCATTTGACCAGGCAACCCCACTCGTCGTTGTCACATTGTTAATTCCCAATAACATTTGCTAAAGCTCAAAGTTAAAAAGAAATTTTGAAGACAACTCACACTATAAAAGAAATTTCCAAACGTTGAACATTGAGTCTTCAAAGCAGCTGGTACAAGATCTAAGACCTATTTTCAAAACAATCACCACTCAATCACTAACTGGCAACTCCTGTATTCTCCGAATCACATCGAATCGTGCCCAAGTCAGCATTGGGATTCAATGCCTGACATTTGGCTCTAGCTCCACCAATGTAAGAGTCATTGATGAAGATTGCTTGATAACACGATCCACCGACATCAATGAAGCCACCACCAACAGCTGCACAATCGGCATAGGTTGTGGTGGGTACCTGGAGATGTTGATCCTTTTGCTTTCAAATAGGCTAGAGCCATTCTTGAGAAGCTACTTAAGCAACCTCATTTATTATGTGAAACATAACAACCTAATTGCCTATATTCTGTTTACCGAAGTTGTGACACATGGTAGCGCTGGTGTCGTTGTGGTCGTAGTTGTGGTTGTTGTCGTTTTCTTTGTGGTTGTCGTTTTTGTCGCCGCGGTACACGGCCGCAATCCACAACCAGTTCCCGTCTTTGCCTGAAATCGAATGGTACTGGGTAGACTTGTCTAACGGTACTTAGAGTCCACTTAATTCAATATCTTTGGGTTTTGTTTCGGCGACTCACCGTGATCACTTCACAGAGAGCAGCACAAACCACCCAATCTGGTGGCGTGTTTTCCCATTTTCCCAGTGGATACGTCACTCCACCAGCTGGATTTGTTGACGCAATGTAGAGCTGAAAGAGGATTTTTGATGATAACAGAGCAAATACAAGTGCTAGTTCATTACAACTGGTACAGTTAAAGTCCTTTAGAAAAGTGTTAGTGTCGATACCGTTGCACTGCTGACTGCATCGACCGGACTTCCGTTTGGCTCTCCTGGGGCCCAGTTGCTAAAAAACTTTCACAAAAAGCACTCGTAAATGTGAAACCGATAAGTCGTATTGGCTCCATTCGTCCAGGAAATTCCACTAGTTCTTGTCACATTATTGATTCCCAACAACAGTTGCTAAAACTCAGTTGCTAAAGTTCGATCGCACTTGCTAATCGACTCACACTGTGGAAGAACTCTCCAAACGATAAACATTGAGTCTTCAGAGCAGCCGACACAACACCTAGAAGCCATTTGAGTGAATCAAAGACTGGAGACAAACCAGAAGCTCCCGTGTTCTCCGCATCACATCGAATCGTGGCCAAGTCCGCATCCACATGAGCAGCCTTACATTTGGCTCTTGCTCCAGCATAATCGGCATTCACATAAATTGCCTTGTAACACGATCCACCAACAGCTTTGAAGCCAGCACCAACAGCGGCACAATTCGCATATTTTGTGGATGAGGCCTAGGAAGAGATGTTTTTGAGAGACTTCACATCACTTACATAATGAGTGAAGCACGGTAGAGCTGGGGTCTTTGTGGTCGGCTTCTTCGTTGTCTTCGTTGTGGCCCTTGTCGTAGCCTTTTTGGTTGTTGTCTTAAATAGTTCTTTAGCTACAAATTAGTGTAGGTTAGTTTAATGGGGAAAAGTAAACAGTGTACTCTAGTAAACAGTGTACTTGTAAGTTGCAAGTATGTGTAACCATAGAACTCGGATGCTTTCAAATGTTTCCCTAACTCTTCCAACAAACCGTGCATAAGGGCATTTGCAAAACGGGATCCTGGGGCAGGCCGACACCGCAAAGCCTTTTGCCAGTCACAAGATTCGTCACCTAATCCAAAAAGTGATTGGCTCTTAACATAAGGCTCCTAACCGCTTTTGTGTCCAATGCACACACATCTCCTGGACAGGCGAGTTTGGGACAATGAATCGTTCTTGTTGAGGAGCCGCTAAATGAATGGAGATATTGATGGATGTTAGAGTCGGAGTGGTAGACGAGGTAGAGTGAAGCGACTTAAAAACTCACGTGCATTTGTGGCCTTTGCTTTGAGACAAGCAAGTTCTGTTCTGAGTGACCATTCCGTTGAGTCCACAGGTTGCCGTGCATGGTGCCATCGATTTCCAGCCACTCCAAATGCCAAGATTTGGAAAAGCACAGTGTGCGAGGACTTCTGAAAGCATTTCTTTCAGATCTACCTTCAATGTATTACTTGTGATTCGACACTTTGGCATCACATAGTCACTCGGCAGAGACACATTTCCACAGAGAACTTGATTGAGTTTGGAGTTGGGGTACTGAAATGGTAAATTCTGTCTTTTTAGCTGTCTGGTAGAACTTTAGCCAATAAACGAAAAACTTACGAGTGAATATCCCTCAGCACAGGCATTCGAGCCATCAGGACATGGCTTCGGAGCACATGGTCTTGTTCGAGAATATGGTCCCCTGGAAAGATTTGAATGGTTGTTTTTTGTTCAGTTACTCACTTGCATGGACATCCCCATTTCCATGAGAGACACGTCCTCTTTTGAACTTTTCTTCCGAATAAACCACACGTGCCTGTACAGCTCGTATAGTCTTCCCACCTTGACCAGTGGCCTGGAATTTGTTGCTTGATCACTTGTTGATGTTTTTGTTAAGTTTAAAAGATTTACCAGCTGCTGGACACTTTGAACAAATGGGGAGAGAGGCTAGCGTGGTGCTTGCTGAAAGATCACTAACATCGCTGTGTTCATCTTGAGTTGTAATTTAGCTAGCTAAGGAGAATAATCAGAAGTTAACTTCAAGTTACTTACACAAAGTCTGGTGTACTGCTTCAGTTCTTCAGTAACCCTTGAAACAAGAGTTACTTGCAAGTTACTTTCTTACTTGTTACAAGCTTTTCAGAACTGACGATAGATTACAAGTTGCATATTTAGATGACACTACAATTATAGTGTCTTATGTTTATAAACAAGCTGTTCACCTCAAAACCTACCATATAGCCCGATCACAGCACAGATGATGAGCATGTTGGAATGAGCAATAAGTTGATCGAGTGACTCTTGTCTAGGTGACTCTGATGACTGATCTACATGCCTTTGACGCCTTTCACCCCTTTTATAGATGAATTCGAAAGAGATTTTGAACCTCAATAGCAAATTTGATTCAAATTCAAAGTCCATTGTTATAAAGTCCATTGAAAGGGACTACAATAGCCCGATCAAAAGTCGAGGTGATCGATTTTCGATCAACGTGAATTTTGAAACTGGAAAATTTTGCTTCCCAGTCAGGACAATGACTTTTATAACAATGGAATGAAAAGGAACAATTGATTTTTTAAAAAATTCAATCGGAATGGTGTAATTTCAGCGCCAGGATTGACCAGGAAGGAGATTTTTCATCGTGCAAGCTTCTACGGACTGTCAAATAGACTGGGACATTGTTTGAACTCACGCAGTCAATGGATTTTATGAAAGACTATAGACATTTGTGTTCTATCTTTTGCTAAGGTCGCACTTTGATAACCGGGAAAGCACCCAGAACGAGAATCTTAAATGTCGTTGATTAAACGATAAATTTAATTTCAGCCATATATGCGCTGTTATGTTATACTATACGTCGGCTGTTATACTATTCTTTGGTGTCCACGTTCAAAGCATCACCACAATGGATCAACAACTTCAAGAGGATTGCTGGAGTCGTACCCGCCGCGTTACCGCAATCAAGAACTTCCGGGCAAAGGCGGACATAGAAGGTGAGGCCAACAACTTTGTGAATAATGTGAGGGCCGACCTTCAAGCAAACGTCGTCCTACGCTCCTGTCTTGCCAATGCCGATCAATCAGGCTTTTTGAAAGAACAGCACTCATCTCGATCCCTAGCCTACCATGGAGAGAAGAAAGTCATCCGCATGATTGGTGCATGTAATAAGATTTGATTGGTGCATGTAATAAGATAAATTGCGATAATATGCCGTACATTCGTTGTGCTTATTGTCTGAATATATTCTCCTTCCTTCATTTTGTCGAATCTTTCCACCGTTGTTGAATTGTTTGTTATTTCTTAGTTTTAAATAAAGTTTTGTTATCCTCACCTTTTATGGTAAAAAAAATCAGAATTAACTTTGAGAAGCGAAAAAAATAGAACGCACATTAAAAGTTTTGCAAAAAAAGAAAAACTTTTGGGGTGGAGCCGAATCAGCGACACTCGGACTCGGTCGCGCTCCTAACCACTCGGCCACTCGGCTAACCTGTGAGAGTGCCTGTGAGAGTTCCCTTTAAAGAGTGCCGTGCAAGTCCCAAAAATGTTTAAGTTTAAGCTACTTTGAACTTTGAACTTTGAAACCTTATATTTCAGTTAGTTCTGGCATTTAGCAGCTAAAAATCTCAGAAAATTCTTCTTTTGTGATGGTCTTTCCCCCCTGTAATTTTGGAGTCGATCTGAGGTGGTAAGTAGTTGTAGTTCCCTCGTTAGCACTGTTGTATGATCAACCCCTAACTCTTCTCCCAATTCACGCGATGCCACCCGATGGTCGTTGATAATGAGTTCGAGTAATTTGGAATCATCCAGTTGGGGTGCCGCTCCACGACCGTCTGCATCTTTCAAAGATCTGTCCCCAGAACGCAACTTGGTAAACCATACTTGCCACCTCTGTCTGTCATATGTTGATGACACTTGCCTTTATCTGTTTTTGAGTGTTGGCAGTAGCGGCACCCGAGCCGACGTATAGTATAACATAACAGCGCATATATGGCTGAAATTAAATTTATCGTTTAATCAACGACATTTAAGATTCTCGTTCTGGGTGCTTTCCCGGTTATCAAAGTGCGACCTTAGCAAAAGATAGAACACAAATGTCTATAGTCTTTCATAAAATCCATTGACTGCGTGAGTTCAAACAATGTCCCAGTCTATTTGACAGTCCGTAGAAGCTTGCACGATGAAAAATCTCCTTCCTGGTCAATCCTGGCGCTGAAATTACACCATTCCGATTGAATTTTTAAAAAAATCAATTGTTCCTTTTCATTCCATTGTTATAAAAGTCATTGTCCTGACTGGGAAGCAAAATTTTCCAGTTTCAAAATTAGCGGTGATCGAAAATCAATCAAATTCTAGACTCCTTTTCGGGCTATTGTAGTCCCTTTCAATGGACTTTATAACAATGGACTTTGAATTTGAATCAAATTTGCTATTGAGGTTCAAAATCCGTTTCAAATTCATCTATAAAAGGGGTGAAAGGCGTCAAAGGCATGTAGATCAGTCATCAGAGTCACCTAGACAAGAGTCACTCGATCAACTTATTGCTCATTCCAACATGCTCATCATCTGTGCTGCGATCGGGCTATATGGTAGGTTTTGAGGTGAACAGCTTGTTTATAAACATAAGACACTATAATTGTAGTGTCATCTAAATATGCAACTTGTAATCTATCGTCAGTTCTGAAAAGCTTGTAACAAGTAAGAAAGTAACTTGCAAGTAACTCTTGTTTCAAGGGCTACTGAAGAACTGAAGCAGTACACCAGACTTTGTGTAAATAACTTGAAGTTAACTTCTGATTATTCTCCTTAGCTAGCTAAATTACAACTCAAGATGAACACAGCGATGTTAGTGATCTGACGAATCTTGTGACTGGCAAAAGGCTTTGCGGTGTCGGCCTGCCCCAGGATCCCGTTTTGCAAATGCCCTTATGCACGGTTTGTTGGAAGAGTTAGGGAAACATTTGAAAGCATCCGAGTTCTATGGTTACACATACTTGCAACTTACAAGTACACTGTTTACTAGAGTACACTGTTTACTTTTCCCCATTAAACTAACCTACACTAATTTGTAGCTAAAGAACTATTTAAGACAACAACCAAAAAGGCTACGACAAGGGCCACAACGAAGACAACGAAGAAGCCGACCACAAAGACCCCAGCTCTACCGTGCTTCACTCATTATGTAAGTGATGTGAAGTCTCTCAAAAACATCTCTTCCTAGGCCTCATCCACAAAATATGCGAATTGTGCCGCTGTTGGTGCTGGCTTCAAAGCTGTTGGTGGATCGTGTTACAAGGCAATTTATGTGAATGCCGATTATGCTGGAGCAAGAGCCAAATGTAAGGCTGCTCATGTGGATGCGGACTTGGCCACGATTCGATGTGATGCGGAGAACACGGGAGCTTCTGGTTTGTCTCCAGTCTTTGATTCACTCAAATGGCTTCTAGGTGTTGTGTCGGCTGCTCTGAAGACTCAATGTTTATCGTTTGGAGAGTTCTTCCACAGTGTGAGTCGCTTAGCAAGTGCGATCGAACTTTAGCAACTGAGTTTTAGCAACTGTTGTTGGGAATCAATAATGTGACAAGAACTAGTGGAATTTCCTGGACGAATGGAGCCAATACGACTTATCGGTTTCACATTTACGAGTGCTTTTTGTGAAAGTTTTTTTAGCAACTGGGCCCCAGGAGAGCCAAACGGAAGTCCGGTCGATGCAGTCAGCAGTGCAACGGTATCGACACTAACACTTTTCTAAAGGACTTTAACTGTACCAGTTGTAATGAACTAGCACTTGTATTTGCTCTGTTATCATCAAAAATCCTCTTTCAGCTCTACATTGCGTCAACAAATCCAGCTGGTGGAGTGACGTATCCACTGGGAAAATGGGAAAACACGCCACCAGATTGGGTGGTTTGTGCTGCTCTCTGTGAAGTGATCACGGTGAGTCGCCGAAACAAAACCCAAAGATATTGAATTAAGTGGACTCTAAGTACCGTTAGACAAGTCTACCCAGTACCATTCGATTTCAGGCAAAGACGGGAACTGGTTGTGGATTGCGGCCGTGTACCGCGGCGACAAAAACGACAACCACAAAGAAAACGACAACAACCACAACTACGACCACAACGACACCAGCGCTACCATGTGTCACAACTTCGGTAAACAGAATATAGGCAATTAGGTTGTTATGTTTCACATAATAAATGAGGTTGCTTAAGTAGCTTCTCAAGAATGGCTCTAGCCTATTTGAAAGCAAAAGGATCAACATCTCCAGGTACCCACCACAACCTATGCCGATTGTGCAGCTGTTGGTGGTGGCTTCATTGATGTCGGTGGATCGTGTTATCAAGCAATCTTCATCAATGACTCTTACATTGGTGGAGCTAGAGCCAAATGTCAGGCATTGAATCCCAATGCTGACTTGGGCACGATTCGATGTGATTCGGAGAATACAGGAGTTGCCAGTTAGTGATTGAGTGGTGATTGTTTTGAAAATAGGTCTTAGATCTTGTACCAGCTGCTTTGAAGACTCAATGTTCAACGTTTGGAAATTTCTTTTATAGTGTGAGTTGTCTTCAAAATTTCTTTTTAACTTTGAGCTTTAGCAAATGTTATTGGGAATTAACAATGTGACAACGACGAGTGGGGTTGCCTGGTCAAATGGTGCCAACTCGACTTATCGGTTTTGTACATTTTCCGTGTTTTTATCCGGCGTTTTCAGAAACTGGGCCCCAGGAGAGCCAAACGGAAACAGTCCAGCAGAAACAGATGCAGCCAGCAGTGCAACGGTATTGTTAGATCCGAATTGAGAGCACGCATAAAACTGTGACTAACTAAGAATTTGTAAACGTGAATGTAGAACATAAAAATAAGCTCTTAAAATATAAAAGAACTTGCATTGATTTGAACTTATTGGTGAAGGGTTGCGGGTAAACAATAGGTCCAATTTTTGTATTTGCTCTGCTCTGATCAAAATATTTCTTTCAGTTCTACATTGCGTCCACAGATCCAGCTGGTGGCACGTATCCGCTGGGACAATGGGAAAACATGCTACCAACTTGGGTGGTTTGTGCGACTCTCTGTGAAGTGATCACGGTAAGTTCTTGAAAAGAAAAAGAAAGAGAAAAGCTGCCCGTTGACAACTGCATTGAAAAGCTGTTGATTCTAGGCAAAAACCGGAAATGGTTGTGGCTTCTCACCGTGCCAGAATGGTCCGTAAGATCCAATAATAAACTCTTCTTAAATATGTGCTAATAAATTGTTTTTCGAGTTTTTCTTTACAAGTTCATAGATTTCAGACGAAAAATAGTCTTTTTGTACTTGTAGCTTAAATTAAAGCAATACCTTTTGACGTCTTGACTGACCGAATTGTTTACTCCACTCCATTGTTCACAGGCGCATATATTTATCTAGGCTTTGGCTCTGCACCCTAGAGGTACGTGGCTCCTAGGCTATCGCCTGATTCTCATACGACTGAGTTTAGTTTCGTTCCAGCTAGAAGTCACGTGCTTCCGGTTCGAAACTCACCTCAGCCGTAGGAGAATCAGGCGATAGCCTAGGAGACACGTGTATCTAGGGTGTGGAGTAAAAGCCTAAGTAAATATAGGAGCCTTGAATGTTGTTAAAAGTTACGAAATGTTGTGTGAAACCATAGTCAATCGATTCAGCATAGCCAAAAACCTCTGGATGCAAAAAATCAGATCATTTGACAAAAAAAAATCCGCCAACTACTATAGCACCTTGAGTTTTAAAACGGACATTTTTCCATTGCTAAGTTGTCTTAAAATTAACTTTTTCGTGACCAGCATCATCAAGTAATGAAACTTTCAGTAACTGAAATCTACGAGGGGCAGATTTTATATGCATGTAGTTTGTGAATTAAGGATTTGATATGGACAGAGTCGAAAGTTTTAGCAAAATCTAAAAACACAGCTTCAAGCTGATAGTTGTTTTTGATCCACGGCCTTAAAGAAATCTTGGTAAGCTAAAATAAGCTGGTAACTGGTGGACCTATTTTTAAGGAAACCAAATTGATAGTCGGAGATAAGTTCATGCTTATCAAGATGAGCTGTAATTTTATCTTTGATAATAATTTCAAAAAGTTTGGATACAGGGGAGGTTAAAGAGATGGGACGATAGTTACTGAAAAGTTTTTTAGGAGATTTTTGAGAAGGGGAATAACTAAAGATTGTTTCCAAAAAGAGGAGACATCTGAACTGAGAAGAATTTTGTTTTAAGAGAGGGTAGGTAAGCACAAGAGTTTTAAGAGAGGGTAGGTAAGCACAAGAGTTTTAAGAGAGGGTAGGTAAGCACTCTAGTAGTTTCTTAATAGCAAAAGCTGAGAGGTTATCAGGACTAGACGACTTTTTAGGCCGTAATTTAGTAAAAGCTTTTTCAATGTCCGCTACACATATTAAGAAATCTGGCCACACGTCAATTTGCTTTACCGGAAAGGCCGGACACTGTTCGTTTCTATCTGTAATCGTATATACACTATGAAAGAATTTGGCAAACTCAGTGACGATTGTACTGGGATTGGAAATAAGTTTAGTACTGTCTAAGGGGTCAACGAAAGAATTGGAGACTATCTTTCGATCTTTTGTTTTAGAGCCTAAATAGGAGAAGAAAGACTTGCTGTTTTTCGAATAAACAGCTTTCCTTTCAATGTTTGACTCAAACTTTTGACAAAATTTCGAGAGCTTGCGCTGTTCTTTGATTACTAGTGGGCCAACCAGAGGATTTGCGTAATTAGATCTTTCAAAAAATGTAGAAGTCTTGCTTTAGCTCTCGTAATATGTTTTGGGGCTAATTTTACAGGGTGAGTGCAGGAGTTTTCTATGGCAAGGAGGATTTTCGAACAGAGAAAATTATAGTCATCATCTATAGAATTTGTCCTAGCGCAGAAAGGAGTCGAAAATTGGGGGTAGGCTAATTTCCGCCATTTTATTTGCGCAACAGTGTCATTTGCGCATCATTCAAAGGCACTTGCAACCGTATTTGAATGAAGAGGCCATGCTTCAAACGGTAAAGCGAATTAAAAAGAAAGAATCGCTCACTAACTGGCCGCACAACATTGACGTTTCTTTATTTGGTAGGGATTTAAAAAAAATAACATTTACATAATCATTTTTATTTATTTAGCGACAAAATTTCTACGAAAGGATACATGTTCCCAATTCAAAAAAGGAGATGCAAAAGCCTTGAAGATATTTGGGCACGATGTCGGTCTAGCTTTACTGAAGCAGGTTGTCCTTACAATTACGTGCATTATTTTTGTAGTAAATAAATTTAGAATAAGCTCTGGGCAGCCGATGCAACGTTTTTCTCGTGCCCCAAGAGCCCCAAGAACTTTGCTCCACTTTTTATCATTGGAGTGCAGGTTTGTTGAGTTTTTGTAATTCAAACATTGGCTTTAGTTGGATCAATTCTTCATTCCTTGCCTCTTTGCCTACATTGGAAGCAAAGAAGCAGCAGTTTATCGATCGGTTTTCGAATATCTCATCAGTGAAGGAATAACTCCTCCAAGAGTATTGATGACTGGTATATATATGGGCTTTTGAATAACATTTTTTGTTTTAGACTTCGAATTGGGTATGTATGCGGGATTTTGTCTTGCTTATGGCCCTGTTGAACATCCAGAATATTCTCCGACGTATAAAAGTGGATGGCTTTTTGCTTATCCAAATGACTGGTATAATATCAAATTTCTTGACTGTAGAAATATGGTCTACATCACGAGGTGCAGACGCCTTTTGGGAAAACTCATATCCAGGGTGTGATGGCACTTGCCTACATTGATCCATTAGAAGTCGATCGCTATTTCCAAGAACTGAAACAGTCCGCAAATGTAAATGCGGATGCACAAATTCTTCCAAAAATCAACAGTTTGTTTTTCGAAATAGACTGAAAAATGTTTGCTCAGTGTTTTACAAATCGTTCGAGCGATCATATTTGGGACGTTTTACGATCCCAGGATTTCGTGGGCCAGCGAAATATGAGATAAATAAGTGGAACGCTTATGATCGTGTACTTCTTGGTCAACAGATTGTAAACTCTGCTCAAGAGGGATTTCACTCTTTATTGAAGGTTTGCTAGAAAGCTTTCTAACCTTTTAACTCAGACTTTTTTAGAAAGGACCCAAGAATCCGCATCCATCGTATACTGCGGTCAGACTTTACGAAGAAATGACGCAAATAATCAACCGTTTCAAGCTTTCATCGGCTATCAATCTCACTGTTGGACAAAACTACACACGGAAGAAAACTGTATTGGCTCGACAAAAGCAACGTTTTACTGCTATTTCTAATGGTCGCTTGCCCGGTTGCGATTTTGTGCAACATCTTTCTCAGCTTTTGACTTATATTAAAAAAATTTGATTTTTATTGTTGTCCTAAATTTCATTGCTATTGTTGTCCTAACTTTCATTGTTATCGGTTGCACTTTTTTGCTAAAGCGATAAAATATTTTACTAATGGTTATTAGCTCCTAGAAAGGACTAATTTAGGTAAATATTGGAAGATGTGCATTGTTCAAAAAATTGGAAGATTTCATAAAAAATAGAAGAAAATAAAAAACAATAAAAAAAAGCTCAAAAATGAAAATAATAATTAAAAACTCGAGTGCTTAATACAGTGTTAAAGTTGCGCAAATGACCCTTGTTGCGCAAACGTACTTGCGCAAATGACCCTGTTGCGGAAATTAGCCTACCCCGAAAATTGCAGTCCTCCAATTTTGAACGTGATCCCATAATGGTCAGATCCAGGAAGAGGCTCCAATCGCTTCAGCTCCATGATGGTATCAGGGGAATCAGGCAAGACCAGATCTAAAATAGAAAATGAACGGCAGAAGGTAGCAAATGTGTTTAAAATAAATAGAGAGCATGTAATATGGAAATTTTGTAGCAAAATGGTGGGATGGTGGTACTTATCGAACACAAATTTGTCATTGGAATAAGTCACATGAAAATTTAAATCGTCTAGTAAAATGTTGACTTCTGAATCATGCAAGAAAAGTGACAAATGATCAAAAAGACGAGAAGTATCAGCATAATTCACGCTAGGGGGCCGATAAACGACAAGAAAACAAACCTTTCTGCCAAGATAAACATCTACAATTATAATTCCACAGTTAAAGATGGAACTGCAGTAAATTACATGGTGGGTACAAGACTTAAGGAGCAAAAACACAACCCCGCCATCATGCGATTTAGTGGAAGACGCTCTATCACATCTAATAATATGGTAAGAATCACTAGGGTCAAGAATAGAGGAAACTAGAGAGTCGTCTAGCCATGTCTCGGTAATAGCAAGAAAAGAATAAGATTTTGTACGAGTCATGGTCTGGAAAGTAGCTAAGCGTTTTTTGCTATTAGTAACTATGCTATGGGCATTGGCAAGAAAAACACTAGGGGAAAAGAGAGCATCAAACTTGGGAAAGCGATCCGAGTAATTTCTCCTGTGTAGAATGCGAGATTGACTGATTGACTTTGTTGTTTGAGGAGTTTCTTTCCAATCCTCCGTTCCGATGGGTGGGTGAAAAAGGCACCCTCATCGTTTTCTGTTTTATCTCGAAAATTCTTTGCTAATGGTTCGTTCACATCCGACAAGGAGTGTGCTTTGCGCAACCCAGGCGGGTCAATCTTCGTAGAGTTAATCCTCTTTGGAGGTCGGCCCTTCTTGACTGGAGACATGCTTTCCATTGTCGTATCCTTTTGCGCAGCCATGCCAACAGTCGTTTCGGAAGCAGTCACATTGATACCAGCCACATGCAGGGCTACAACCTGGCCCTGAGATGCACTCCTTGTCTTATTCACGTCGAGGTGTAAAAGGGGAGCATGTTGAGTTGAAGGAAATGTCTCCTGCCTCTCGCTCTTGTAGCGACTTGGATCCGAGGTCCGTTTAAAACTTGGGACTTGGGTCCGTTTAAAATAAACTTTCGAGTTCAATGCTTGGTCATAGCTAAAAGTAGAGTAAAAATGCTCAAAAATACTTGTGTCAACTTTTTATAGCCTCTCGGAAAGGTTCCTAAACTTGCGTTTGAAAGTTGTCACCCAGGAGCCGCCAAGACTTTTGACCATGACTGTATTGTAGAATTCGCACCTTATACAGTCATGCACAAAAGTCTTGTAACATCCAGTTTAGCAAATTTCAAAGTGTAATAACTTTTTTGCAAAGAGGCGAATTCGCAAACAGTTTTTGGTTTTCAATTGTCAAAAATTTCTATTTTTATATGCAAGAAAAACTTTATTGAAGCGATTAACAAAAATTAAAAAAAACAAAAAACGGGCGTATTTTTGATGCTCAAAAGTCTTGTAACATTTGGAAAAAAACATAGGAATTATCAAATTTTTAATACTTGCTTGGTCCACTATAGCTTTGATGACTCCCTGGATTCGCTTTGGCATTGAATCAACTAAATCGCGTAGAATTTGGGCTCCCAGGGATGACCCGGTACGGCGAATGAAGAACCAAACCCCTATCTTCGAGTTGAATCGCTTTGACTTCAAAAAAGCCCAAAGATGCTCAAGGACGCTCAAATCCGGGCTGTATGGAGGAGCTGAGATAATTTGAACACGATTTGCTTTGAACCATCCTGGAAGACGAGCTTTTCCACCATTTGCGAGAGTGACGACCCGGCCCATTAGCAATTGACTCTTGTGGCAAGCGGCATTATCCTGATAAAGCAGCCATCCAGGGCCCATTTTTGCAATTGAAAATATCAGAAGATGATTCTGGAAAACTGATTTGTAGCCTTCAGCTTTGAGCGTTGAGTTTAGTAGCACTAGCGGACCTGGTGAATTTCTCGATATTGCACCTGAAAGACAGAGTTGAGAGTGTCCGGGCGAAAAAGATTGACTTTTGACTCATCAGTAAAAATCACATTTGCTCAATCATTTTGTCATACTTCTTTGCAAACTCCAAACGAATCTTCCGATGCTTGGCATTCATCAAGGGCTTCTTGGCTGCTCTTCTTGTCACCAACCCACCACGAATCAAGCGTCGGCTCACTGTCATTCGTGATACATCCTGGCCGAATTGACTCTTCGTCATGACGACTCCATCGCTCGCATTGAGATCCTTGTTATTTTGGTGAGCTTTGACGAGCGCTTTATTCTCTCTGGGTGTTGTAATTGGTGGACGGCCTGATTTTGAAGCTCGGTGAACAGATCCAGTCGTTTTGAACGTCCCGACAATTACAGATACCGTTTTTTCACTGCATTTGAAGAGAGCTGCCACATCTTTCCTCTCAATTCCTTTCTCTCGCGCTTCCACAATTTTTTCTTTGTCCCGAGTTGACAAGTATTGTCCAGGCATCTAAAAAAAATAATTTTTTGTTATATAAAAAGAAAATAAAAACAAAAACAAAAAAAAAAGCAAAATACTTCAAATGTTACAAGACTTTTGAAGAATAATCCAGCGATCAATCCGGAAATTTCGATGGTTAGTCTGTGTACCTGCATCTAGTGTATTCATGAAGGCCTAATCAGCGACCTAAATTTTCAGGAAAAATCACGAATGACCACTAAAATACCATTCAAAACACATTCAAACGCTGAAGGAAAGCATGCTGTAAAGACGTGAGAAATAATTCAACTATTGAAATCTATATTGTCTATTGTTTCGCTGAAAGTTAATCAATTTCAGTGATGGATTCGTTAGCGGAAGCTCGGAGACACGGGAGAATAAAAAGATGAAAGCAAAGGCTCGATTTGGAGACTATGAGGATACGGTAGCGAAAAGTGACACCCAAGTAGGCTAAAAAAGTTCTGAAACGCTAAAAAAGGCTGATGTTTTCACTTTTTTGTACTCCGATACGTTATATTGTTATTTTATACTCTCAAATGATCGAAACAAGTGAAAAGCAGATAAAACAAAAAAGCAAAAGAGACATTTCGGCTTGGGACTCGAATAGACGAGCTTGGATTGGCTTCCAGCGCCTTAAGCCAGATTATGAAGAGAACTTGCTGCCCCTTGGCTAGTGTTACTATCGCTGGGGCCAAGATCAGTCTACTAATGAAAAATCATCAAAAAATTGTACCGTAACCCCAATTTTGCTCTACTCTATTTGCTGAGTTTTGACACTCAAATTTTTCTGCCGTTTTTCGGCAATTTGGTGGAAAGAGGGAAAAGCGGAAAAACGATAACCCTGCTTTCAAATAAGATTTCCACAAAGATTAATAAAAAGCTTTCAGAAAAAGATGCAATATAATCCAAAGAAGAAAGAAAAACAGCGAACATTTGGAGACTATGAAGACACAATTTCAGAAATGGATTTAAAGGTGAATGAAATCTTTGAAGATTGATCAGGAAAGATTCTAGAAAAAGGGAAAGCCTAGTCACAAAGAAGCACAAAGTAAAGATTCGAAGCTCGAGTTTGGGGACTATGAGGAGAATGTATCAAGAATTGATCTTCAGGTAAAACTACAAGTTTCTCAGAAAAGAAGAATCTTGTGCAGCTAAAAATAGAAATTTTAGAAAGCTCACAAGTACTCTGGGCGAAAAGGAGGATCAAGTGAATCACGACAACGAGAGCAAAAACCTCTAGGTAAGTGATGAGGAACTCATCAGCATCTCAAAGTACTATGAAGCAATAATTTGATCCAAGAGTCTTCAGAATTCAAAAGCTACAAAGACTTTTGCGAGTTGTTTTCAGATTTGAATGAAAAGAAGCAAAACTTGGAACTGATTTCGGAGTTCGTTCCGATTGGGCATGATACAAGTGCCAAGCAACGCTTGCGGACTGGAGTTCATAAGAAAAAGTGAGATTTATGAGTGAGATAAGATCATTCTAGAATTTAGATTGCTAAATCCTGCTCCAAGTACTGTAGCTTCAACTTCTCACTAGAGTGTGTTATTCTTTCAACCCTTTTCTTTTCAGATTCCGTGGTTGGACAATTCAATGGGATCGAATTAGATGAAAATATTACCCTCCAACAGAGGGAAAACTAGATCTCACTAAGTGTTAAAGTGTATAAAGGTTGAAGTTAATCTCTTCAATAAATGCACAAAAACTTGTAAAGAAAAAGTCGAAAAACAATTTATTAGCACATATTTAAGAAGAGTTTATTATTGGATCTTACGGACCATTCTGGCACGGTGAGAAGCCACAACCATTTCCGGTTTTTGCCTAGAATCAACAGCTTTTCAATGCAGTTGTCAACGGGCAGTTTTTCTCTTTCTTTCTCTTTTCAAGAACTTACCGTGATCACTTCACAGAGAGTCGCACAAACCACCCAAGTTGGTAGCATGTTTTCCCATTGTCCCAGCGGATACGTGCCACCAGCTGGATCTGTGGACGCAATGTAGAACTGAAAGAAATATTTTGATCAGAGCAGAGCAAATACAAAACTTGGACCTATTGTTTACCCGCAACCCTTCACCAATAAGTTCAAATCAATGCAAGTTCTTTTATATTTTAAGAGCTTATTTTTATGTTCTACATTCACGTTTACAAATTCTTAGTTAGTCACAGTTTTATGCGTGCTCTCAATTCGGATCTAACAATACCGTTGCACTGCTGGCTGCATCTGTTTCTGCTGGACTGTTTCCGTTTGGCTCTCCTGGGGCCCAGTTTCTGAAAACGCCGGATAAAAACACGGAAAATGTACAAAACCGATAAGTCGAGTTGGCACCATTTGACCAGGCAACCCCACTCGTCGTTGTCACATTGTTAATTCCCAATAACATTTGCTAAAGCTCAAAGTTAAAAAGAAATTTTGAAGACAACTCACACTATAAAAGAAATTTCCAAACGTTGAACATTGAGTCTTCAAAGCAGCTGGTACAAGATCTAAGACCTATTTTCAAAACAATCACCACTCAATCACTAACTGGCAACTCCTGTATTCTCCGAATCACATCGAATCGTGCCCAAGTCAGCATTGGGATTCAATGCCTGACATTTGGCTCTAGCTCCACCAATGTAAGAGTCATTGATGAAGATTGCTTGGTAACACGATCCACCGACATCAATGAAGCCACCACCAACAGCTGCACAATCGGCATAGGTTGTGGTGGGTACCTGGAGATGTTGATCCTTTTGCTTTCAAATAGGCTAGAGCCATTCTTGAGAAGCTACTTAAGCAACCTCATTTATTATGTGAAACATAACAACCTAATTGCCTATATTCTGTTTACCGAAGTTGTGACACATGGTAGCGCTGGTGTCGTTGTGGTCGTAGTTGTGGTTGTTGTCGTTTTCTTTGTGGTTGTCGTTTTTGTCGCCGCGGTACACGGCCGCAATCCACAACCAGTTCCCGTCTTTGCCTGAAATCGAATGGTACTGGGTAGACTTGTCTAACGGTACTTAGAGTCCACTTAATTCAATATCTTTGGGTTTTGTTTCGGCGACTCACCGTGATCACTTCACAGAGAGCAGCACAAACCACCCAATCTGGTGGCGTGTTTTCCCATTTTCCCAGTGGATACGTCACTCCACCAGCTGGATTTGTTGACGCAATGTAGAGCTGAAAGAGGATTTTTGATGATAACAGAGCAAATACAAGTGCTAGTTCATTACAACTGGTACAGTTAAAGTCCTTTAGAAACGTGTTAGTGTCGATACCGTTGCACTGCTGACTGCATCGACCGGACTTCCGTTTGGCTCTCCTGGGGCCCAGTTGCTAAAAAACTTTCACAAAAAGCACTCGTAAATGTGAAACCGATAAGTCGTATTGGCTCCATTCGTCCAGGAAATTCCACTAGTTCTTGTCACATTATTGATTCCCAACAACAGTTGCTAAAACTCAGTTGCTAAAGTTCGATCGCACTTGCTAATCGACTCACACTGTGGAAGAACTCTCCAAACGATAAACATTGAGTCTTCAGAGCAGCCGACACAACACCTAGAAGCCATTTGAGTGAATCAAAGACTGGAGACAAACCAGAAGCTCCCGTGTTCTCCGCATCACATCGAATCGTGGCCAAGTCCGCATCCACATGAGCAGCCTTACATTTGGCTCTTGCTCCAGCATAATCGGCATTCACATAAATTGCCTTGTAACACGATCCACCAACAGCTTTGAAGCCAGCACCAACAGCGGCACAATTCGCATATTTTGTGGATGAGGCCTAGGAAGAGATGTTTTTTGAGAGACTTCACATCACTTACATAATGAGTGAAGCACGGTAGAGCTGGGGTCTTTGTGGTCGGCTTCTTCGTTGTCTTCGTTGTGGCCCTTGTCGTAGCCTTTTTGGTTGTTGTCTTAAATAGTTCTTTAGCTACAAATTAGTGTAGGTTAGTTTAATGGGGAAAAGTAAACAGTGTACTCTAGTAAACAGTGTACTTGTAAGTTGCAAGTATGTGTAACCATAGAACTCGGATGCTTTCAAATGTTTCCCTAACTCTTCCAACAAACCGTGCATAAGGGCATTTGCAAAACGGGATCCTGGGGCAGGCCGACACCGCAAAGCCTTTTGCCAGTCACAAGATTCGTCACCTAATCCAAAAAGTGATTGGCTCTTAACATAAGGCTCTAACCGCTTTTGTGTCCAATGCACACACATCTCCTGGACAGGCGAGTTTGGGACAATGAATCGTTCTTGTTGAGGAGCCGCTAAATGAATGGAGATATTGATGGATGTTAGAGTCGGAGTGGTAGACGAGGTAGAGTGAAGCGACTTAAAAACTCACGTGCATTTGTGGCCTTTGCTTTGAGACAAGCAAGTTCTGTTCTGAGTGACCATTCCGTTGAGTCCACAGGTTGCCGTGCATGGTGCCATCGATTTCCAGCCACTCCAAATGCCAAGATTTGGAAAAGCACAGTGTGCGAGGACTTCTGAAAGCATTTCTTTCAGATCTACCTTCAATGTATTACTTGTGATTCGACACTTTGGCATCACATAGTCACTCGGCAGAGACACATTTCCACAGAGAACTTGATTGAGTTTGGAGTTGGGGTACTGAAATGGTAAATTCTGTCTTTTTAGCTGTCTGGTAGAACTTTAGCCAATAAACCGAAAGCTTACGAGTGAATATCCCTCAGCACAGGCATTCGAGCCATCAGGACATGGCTTCGGAGCACATGGTCTTGTTCGAGAATATGGTCCCCTGGAAAGATTTGAATGGTTGTTTTTTAAAGGTACACAAAATTGTTCAGTTACTCACTTGCATGGACATCCCCATTTCCATGAGAGACACGTCCTCTTTTGAACCTTTCTTCCGAATAAACCACACGTGCCTGTACAGCTCGTATAGTCTTCCCACCTTGACCAGTGGCCTGGAATTTGTTGCTTGATGTAATGTTGATGTTTTTGTTAAGTTTAAAAGATTTACCAGCTGCTGGACACTTTGAACAAATGGGGAGAGAGGCTAGCGTGGTGCTTGCTGAAAGATCACTAACATAACTGTGTTGTTCATCTTGAGTTGTAATTTAGCTAGCTAAGGAGAATAATCAGAGGTTAACTTCAAGTTAAGCTGACAGCTGACATAGCTATTCTAAATCTCAGGTTACTTACACAAAGTCTGGTGTACTGCCTCAATTCTCCAGTAACCTTTGAAACAAGAGTTACTTGCAAGTTACTTTCTTACTTGTTACAAGCTTTTCAGAACTGACGATAGATTACAAGTTGCATATTTAGATGACACTACAATTATAGTGTCTTATGTTTATAAAGAAGCTGTTCACCTCAAAACCTACCATATAGCCCGATCACAGCACAGATGATGAGCATGTTGGAATGAGCAATAAGTTGATCGAGTGACTCTTGTCTAGGTGACTCTGATGACTGATCTACATGCCTTTGACGCCTTTCACCCCTTTTATAGATGAATTCGAAACGGATTTTGAACCTCAATAGCAAATTTGATTCAAATTCAAAGTCCATTGTTATAAAGTCCATTGAAAGGGACTACAATAGCCCGATCAAAAGTCGAGGTGATCGATTTTCGATCAACGTGAATTTTGAAACTGGAAAATTTTGCTTCCCAGTCAGGACAATGACTTTTATAACAATGGAATGAAAAGGAACAATTGATTTTTTTAAAAATTCAATCGGAATGGTGTAATTTCAGCGCCAGGATTGACCAGGAAGGAGATTTTTCATCGTGCAAGCTTCTACGGACTGTCAAATAGACTGGGACATTGTTTGAACTCACGCAGTCAATGGATTTTATGAAAGACTATAGACATTTGTGTTCTATCCTTTGTTAGGGGCGGACTTTGATAAAGGACCCGGAACGAGAACCGGGAAAGAACCCGGAACGAGAATTCAAAGACAAGCCTTGCCCAGGAGACTTGCTCAAGACTTTTTGGTGAAATGGCCAAGAAAAGACCTTTTCTTGGTCTTTTCTGCACATTTTCTTGAAAACTACCGTAGCCAAACGATCAATTTTCACTATACAACAAAAAAGGCACAAGTATTCAGAAAGGCAGAAGTTCGTTTCTCATGAATTAGTCACATTTCACCAAAAAACTATTGGCAGGTTCCACTATCGTGACAATCGCCAATCAGCAAGTGAAGTTACACATGATAAAGTTAGTTGACCTAATCGTCTGTCAGATGTTGATGACACTTGCCTTTATCTGTTTTTGAGTGTTGGCAGTAGCGGCGCCAGAGCATACGTATAGGATAACATAACAGCGCATATATGGCTGAAATTAAATTTATCGTCTAATCAACGACATTTAAAATTCTCGTTCTGGGTCCTTTGCCGGTTATCGAAGTCCGCCCCTAACAAAAGATAGAACACAAATGTCTATAGTCTTTGATAAAATCCATCAAACAATGTCCCAGTCTATTTGACAGTCCGTAGAAGCTTGCACGATGAAAAATCTCCTTCCTGGTCAATCCTGGCGCTGAAATTAAAATATCCCGACTAAAATATCCCTTTACATTCCATTGTTATAAAAGTCATTGTCCTGACTCGGAAGCAAAATTTTCCAGTTTCAAAATTAGCGGTGATCGAAAAGCAACC